GAATCCGTGATGGCTTGAAGCTTGGGAGACATATGATTTGGTTAAGAAGAGATGGCAACTCAGGGTGTTTTTCTTGTGTTGTTGTCTCGGCTTTGAATTTATTGGGGGTCCTCACACAGATAACACCACATGCATGTGTTAGATCTTGTTACATTTTCCTCCAATAAATAAATCTGAACAGGAAATCAAAAGATTTGAGAATGATTTACCTTTCACATTGCAGCTTTTCAGATTTCCCACCAAGGCTAGGTATTCACGGAGGTGTGTTTGTTGCTGGGTTATGGAAGTCTACGGATGCAGCGCTTAGGGAGGAAGAAAGAGCTGCTGTGAATGAGGAGGTTTAAAATGATGAGAGGGCTGCGAGGATTTAGAAAGATGTGAAAGAAAGAGAGGTCTTTTCATTTTAGAGAGAAATGGAAAATAATGGAGCTTTTCAGTGGGAATCCTAAGGAACTAACTACCGGATGCATGACGTGTGTACAAATCTGGAGCCTTTCTTGTCTGTCCGAGACAACTGTTTTGAAATGGGGGTTTTGAAATGACTCAGAAATGGAGCCGTTTGGCTCTAGACTAGGTGAAAAGAGAAGAGCCGTTCGGCTCGGTAATCTGGGTTTACAGGGAATCCAGTGTCTTCCCTACCTGCTTATCTAGCCCGTGCATGTGTATTCCGGGGTTTCCAATGAAATGGACTGGTGCAGTCTTTTACGTGGGCACCATGACTGACATTTTTTTAAAACATCTGCATGCCAGCTGCAAGTCACTTTCCTGGGGAATCCAATGTTCTCCTAGCGTGTTGCTTTGCAGGTTGGGTTCAAACCCAACGGCCACTCGGCCACATGGGTCGTTTGTCAAGGCCCAACGTTGACATGCCATGCTGGTTTCCAATCAAAAGCCAGGTGTTTTTCTCACTTTTATTTTCTTTTTATTTTATATTTTCATTTTATTTTCTTCTTTTAGTTTTCTCGGTTCTTTTTAGTGATAGGTTTTTTGTGTTTTATTTTATTGTTCTTTTAGTTTTTCTTTTTGTTTCCACACCTTGAGGACAAAGTGTGAAATAAGTTTGGGGGTGGGAAAGTAAATCTTAGTTTTTCATGGTCTTTATTGAAAAAAAAAAGTTTTTCATGGTCCTTATTGAAAAAATTGAAAAATGTCAAAAATCCAAAAAGATTTTCTTTTTCTTGAGTCGTTTAGTTAGACCTTCCATAAGTCAATGATAGTAATTCACTTTCTTCTAGGTCAACAAACTTATTTGACTTGGTTCTTCTTTTGTGAAAATTCAATTGTTTTATATGGTTAATCCGATTCTTACATGATCGTTCTCAAGTTTATTTTATACCAATAACCAATGTCAGTATGATTATCTCTTACTTAGAGAATTATATGTGGATTTAAGGTGAAAACTTATTGAACACTTGTGAGATTTTGAGCCTCTTGCATATTCTTTCTTGTGAGTTTCATGATAGCATTATCATTCACTAGAACTTGCTTCAATATCTCTCGAGACGAAATCCTAAGTCATGCAACATTAGAGAGATGATAAAGGCCATGTTTGGATCGTTTGAGCCTTTCTAACCACCTTTTTTATGTTTCATTTTCCCTAGTTACCCTTTTGAAGCCAAACACTTAGCCTTTTCTTTCATCACCCACATTCATCCCTACACATTTAACCTATTTTAGCCATACCCTATAACTTAAGGGATACCAAGTGGACATCAAGGAAGATAAAGGTTGGGTTCTACAATAAGAAGTGGCGTGTACCGAGGTACCATGTCGAGTATTATTTTTATTCTTCTGTAAAAAAAAAAAAAAAAGAATTAAGAATTAGAAAAGAAGAGTTCGAAATTGTTCCATCTTTATGACATGAGTCCTGGACACCAATAATAGAAGATTCAAGTTTCAAAAGAGGGCCGACCGAATTATATTATGAAGATATCTTGGTATTTCTTAAGTTTTAGTTTTTCCCTATCCTTTCTTTGATAGCCCATACCCTAGCCTAATGTTACAACCTTTATAAAGACCTTTGATCTTTGGTGTTGCATTGATTTACATTAGTGGAGAGTTGATATGAAGAGCAAGCTTATGGGGTTTTATATTGCTTATCATGATTGAGTGAAACACTTTGCCCTTTAATGTGTGATTTTTTGTGTGAGTGATATTCATGGTAGAGGATTTGAAGTGGAAGCTTTGGTTTGCATATACCTATCCGGGTTGAGTAAGTTGTATTGATATTGGGTATGTCACTCATTACGTTTGAGAATGTTGTGTAAGGTTTGGTTAATTTTATTTTGAAAAATGTTTAATTCTCTTAAGTTTGGTGACCGTCTCTAGATTGCTTTGAGGCTAATTTATGGAAGGTCTATTGTTTAATTGTTGTTTTTTTTATTTTTTATTTTTGTTTTGCTTGAGAACAAGCAAAAAGCTAAGTTTGGGGATATTTGATGAGTAGATTTTATATTATATATTTTACCCTAATCTTAGTATATTTTGGTTAATATATTGGAAGAATTTTGATACTTTGAATTGTATTTTCAATATAGGACTTTCGACTTCCTCTGGAGAAAAACAGGACCAAATGGATGAATTTTGGAGTAATTCCAGTTGGAGGACGTTCGTGAGTCACTTAGCTTGATCGTAACAAAATTTGGGATTTTTCCACCAAGCAGTTATTTTCTGGCGATAAAATAAAGAAGCAGTGCGCAGTGCTAGAAAATGACATTTTTGGGCTTAAATTGCATTTTTGGAGCCCAAGATGACCTTGGATGGGTTCGCGGCCTTCTGGAAAAGTGTTCAGAATATTCCAAACATTAAATCCAGCTGTATTGGGCCAGTTTTGGAGCAGTTTATGGGTCCAAAACGTGGCTGTTCAGATTTTAGACGAATTTTACCATTTAATCTAGGGTTTTTGTGGGGGTTTAGCAAATATATTGCTTGGTCGTCTACAATTTTATATTACGCTTTATTTTATGCAACTTTGGAGACAGAGAGAATTGCTAGGGTTTTAGAGATTTTCTACTTGAAGGTGCTTTCAATCCTTTTCTTAAGAATATTTTCTATGATTTCAATTATGAATATGTGTAACTAATTTCTTTTGCTAGGGCGAAGCCTTGAGCCTTAGCATGAATATGTGATTTTTATTTAATTGCTTATGATTGATTGCATGCATACTTTGAATTGTTAATCACCAGGATAAAAACTATCTAATTGTCTTAATGCCTGATCACCATTAGGATCTTTAGAAAAGTAATTTGATGCAATTTTGGTCAGAAGATTCCCTGAAATTGACGCTAGCTTCTTGTGATTAATAATTGTAATTTCACTTAGGATGAATATCACGTCTTAAGGATTGCATGGTTTTTCAAAGGATTTTCATAAAGCATAATGAGTCTTTCATGTTCAGATTTGATCCGAACGTCCGGACGGGTTGCATGTTAGATATACGTTCTATGTTGGAGGTTCCAAGTAGAATATGAATTAGGAAAATCTAACCTTCAAAGTGGCATGTGTAGATCATAAGTAATTGGTAAAAATTCATAGGATTGCTAGGTGATGGTGGAACCCTAGTGCTTTCTTTATTTGATTCTTCCAAAACTGTTTTCTTTTCTCTCTAGCTCTAATATTGCAGATTGTTTATTTTAATTCATTAATTTCGTTTTTATTTTAATTAGGTTATAAAATTAATCACCTAAACTTCTACTTTACAATAATTAAATGGAATCTGATTAGTTTCGAATTATTTAATAGTCCCTATGGAGACGACCTTGCGAGATCCGTTTATACTACAATAACTTTGTGATTCTTGCAAGTAAAATAGGAGATTTAAGCCCGTTCACATGAGTAGTAAAATCCCTATCAATGCAGGTAAGACTCTTAGGTTTTGTGACCAAATTTCAAGAAAAGGTTAAGAAAATATGGGTTCAATAGGACGCTGCAGGTTTTCGGGTTTCTGTGCAGGTTTGGTTTTTGCAGCCAACGATGCCCACTACAATTTTTCTGAGGTTCTAATAGGACTGAATAAACCTTCTGGATCTGATTTGTTCAAATTCTGATAATGGTAATTATAGTCAGGGAGTTAACTTAGTGAATTTGAACGCTGAAATGGTTCAATTGCAAATTGAGTTTTGTTCTCTACCGAGTAAAATGGTGTGGGGGAATATAGTTTGAATTGGTGGGTTAATTCAAGTCTGGGTTCAAACAGGTTGTAGGATGGGATTTCAAACAGGCTATAATGTTTGAATGTTTAGGTATCTTTATGGGTTTCGGGTTCAGCAAGAAAATTCTTAGATGCCGATTCTGAACTTTCAATCAAAATCGGTTGAATATTTTCCTTATCCACCAACGTCCTCTTCCCTAATTTCTTCTCAAGTTGAAACTTAGTAAGAACATTGTTGGATTCGTTACTTGACGAAGAGGAAGTCTGAAATGTAGTTCGAGACGTCCTCAGATGAAAACTGGGCAAATTGTTTTAATTCGTGAAAACCTGGCTCTAAGGCCAATGACGGAAATTGGGTAGTTCATAGGATTAGAAATGGATCTTGTTTAGACTATCGATCACAATATGGTGTGAAGGATATGAACAGAGAGTGAGAAGGGAATTGAATGAATCTAACATAAAGGGATTTGACAAATATATAGAGATGGAAATAACCTTTCTAGAGGAGTTGTATTTTTCAAGGGAAGTTATAACTTTTTAAGTTGAAATACAACTGTTCATATCATTTTAGAATTAATTAATTAATTATATTATATTATATTATATTATATTATTTTCTTTGTTAATTAATTAACTTATTTCACTACAATCATATGTATATTAGTACACCAATGTTATAGAGTACCTTCACATATAATTACACATATTGTGAAAATCATGTTATCATAATCATATATTCCAACAATTTTTACACTAAATCATTAATTGGTATCCTTAAATAATTAACTTGATTGTTTGGCACAAAAAAATAATAATAAACTTTGATTAATATATGCATATTTGTCCTCAAGAAAAAAATAATCCACGTGTTAATTATTCTCATTCACATTACCATGATAGAAGTACGTAACAACGGATAAGTTAAAAATTAAAGTATATATCGACAAATGACGAACAACAATCACTATATGACACCAGAAGCAATATATAAGCAGAAATCACATGAAGTTTCTCATTCAGCTTTTGGAACGGAAGCTCCATCAATCAGTTTGTTGCTGAAGTCCCAAAGTTTATTGGCCAACTTTTCATCTCTAGCATATGAGCTGGGTTTCATCTCGTTGCAGTCGACGTAGTATTTTCCGGTCACACCTTTCAGTTTTGGATGCAGAGCAACATACAATGTTGTGGCTGCTCCCTGACAAAGTGACAAAGTGAAAAGCGCGTACCATTCAGAAAATGCAGCATGCAAAATATATAGTCAGGAGCCATAGTCTTATAATACTAGCGTCATAATATAAGCTCTCAAAAATTGATCATATTGTTAGTTATAATTATCAATGATGTATTCTCATATTTTAAAAATGTCATATACACCAAGAGACAAATAGGATAAAATTACTAATATAGAGCCAAAAAGAAGACTAGCTATGAGAACACACAATAAAGAAGGACGGTGGAAATCTTTTGTCAAAAGTAAAGAGTGATTTTAACATATGCCTTAATAAAAGTGTAGCAAGTTGTATGTTCTTTCATAGTTCTTACAAGGTTCAAAGGAGATTGAGTTCAAGCTAAGATAAATCATAAGAATTAGCTCGGATAGTGTGTTTAATTTGAGGTTTAAATCAAGTTCGAGAAGAAGAGAGAGAGTAGACAGAAGAAAATATAGAAGTACATAGTTGTTGTGCTACAAAAGAGAGAATGACCGAAATAAGGTGAGCTTGAAGTAGAGTATGTTGGCCAAAAAACACTGAAAATCACCTACAAAAATTGCTTTTAATGAACTTGTTGTAGGGGTCAAGACACATTAACAAAGGGAATTACATTGAGTTGTTAGGATTATGGACACTTAATGCCCACATTGTAGCTCCACTACTGCAATTAACTGCCTTTTAACGGTTTAACCCCTCTGTTAAAGCAAAGAGTAATTAGTTAATTACCTGATGTACATTCTTCCACATCCAAAAGGTGAACAACCTTAACGTTTCTGCGTAAAAAAAGATGGCAGAAATTAATTAAAGGCATAATTCATTTTGCATGAGAATATCATGTATAAACTAGATTTTGTTATTGGTACTTTAAAAATATAATCGTACACTCTAAACATATAAAAATATAAAGAAAAAAAATCACTTAGAAAAATGCACTATACATATATATATATATATATATATATATCTATACTATTATTAAGAGAACCCTCATTGTCAAAATTTTGGCACTTTTTTCCTATTTTGCCCTCCCTTTTGATACACAATATTGACATAAGAAGGGCAAAATAATAATTTTGTATCTTTTGAACTTTTTGCCCCTTTTTTTCTATTTTGCCCTTGCTTTTGATACACAACATTTATATAAGAATGGCAAAATAGTAATTTTGTATCTTTTGAGAAAATGACAATCATATCACTAGTTTCCCTATTTTACCCTCACTTTTAATAAAAAGAAATGTGCACTTATTAAGAGAAATTTTCCCACCATTTTTTTTTCATACAGGTAAGTGAAATCATGATGTTTTTTAGATAGTTTGAATGAACTGAAGCAGTTGCGCTTGAAGAGAACGTGGGAGGAAATAAGCGGTTGAAAAGGCTTTAATTTTGTCAATTATATCCCTATTTTTCTATTTTACCCTCATTTTTTGAGAAAATGACAATCATATACCTATTTTTCCTATGACAACAAAATATGCCCTTATTAAGATAAACCTTATCATCATTGTCTTATACTTTTTTTTTTTAATTTTAAAAACTAATTACACTCCTTAATAAAAATAAAATAAAATTATTTACACACATATAATATGTGCTCATCTTCTAGTATATATATATAAGTGTAGAGTGCAAGGGAATATAGGGACGTTAGCATGCATACTCATCATAAGTGTAGAATGCCTCATGAGGGGTGTCATTATGATTCCTGGGTGGACCGAGTTGACAGTTATGTTCACACCTTCTCCCTACACAATACTCCAAGCAATCTGTTAAAATTTTGTTTACAACTATATCGACATACACGTTTAATTAATAGTAAAATAACGTAACATACAAAATAATTGTTTAAAAGTACACGCAGATCCTTTTTTTTTTAAAGATTCTAAAGATCTTGTGATTTCACTCGGTCACATATGGTCATTTTTTATTAAATATTATTTATATTTAATTTTAAATTTTAAATTTTAAAATAATTTCTAACTTTACGATGTACGACGAATGAATAAGATCACAAAATTTTTAAGAAAAGGATACGGCAAGGATGCTTTTCCCATAATGATCATACTTTTGAATATGGGGGTATGAGTCCATGGGACCCTAAAATTTAATTTTATTACCCTTTTAAACTCTGTTATGGACCCTCTCTAGTCCAGTATTTATTTGACTTATTTTTTTTTATTTTTTTTTTTGTAAACTATTTGATCTTTTTTTTTATGGAAAACTAATGAAAAGGACTTGAAAACTTTGAGTTTTAATGATAAAGACAAAATAAAGGGTAAAGTGAATAGTATCAGGATTGACTTTTTAGTGTAAAAATGTGATTTTTCGTTAAAGTGAACAGTACCAAGTGCTTTTCGTTAAAGTTCCCTTTTTTTTACCTACAGACTGCAAAACTTTGAAGGCTCTTAATTTAAAGGTACGAATCTCTTTGGATCTACTCTTGTAGGTTGTCACCTCAACGCCATGGGCAGGGCACGCTTTTTTTGAGGCAAAATGAAAACGACAAGGCTATTTGATGATAAAAATTTGACGTGACGGTTCACGTGTTATAATATATTAAAATGATAAAGGTTGATGTGTTATTGAGCAATACACATTTTATAATGTAAGTAGATTAAACTTGTAAAATAGTGTGACGTGAGACTCGTTATGTAACAGTATATATATATATCAAGTGAGACTCATTACATAACCGTATGTATGCAGTTACAAATGATCGTGTTTGTACATGTTTAATAAGTGCTAGGACCCTTTTGTAGAGTGAAAATTAATGCAACAGCATCTCGTGATTAAGAAAAAATGAACTTTAACAAAAAATTCTTAGTATTGTTCATTTTAACGAAAAATTATATTTTTACATTAAAAAGTCAATTATAGTATTATTCACTTTGCCTTTTATTTTGTCATTTTCGTTAAAACTTAAAGTTTTCAAGTTATTTTCATTAGTTTTCCTTAAAAAAATAAAAAGGGGTAATGTGCATTATGATGGGAACAAAATCACCTGCAATCGACGAGAGAGCTCATTGGCATGAAGTATGTTTGCTAATTTGGATTGCCCATATGCCCTTTTGTCTGAGTAACTAATAACACAAAACAAGAACTTTATGTATTGTGATCTAGCTGGTTTATAAAAGATCACAGTGGATTACTCAGATCGTTACTTACCTGCTTCGATCATTGATCTCTTTGAATCGAATCCCACCTTCATAAGAGTGTATACGAGCAATTGATGACAAGTTCACAATCCTTCCTTCTACACCAGTAGTTCTAGCTGTATGCTTCATTTTCTCAAGGAGAAGGTTTGTTAAGAGAAAATGACCTGTAAAATAGGTACTTGGCTCAACTAGAATGCAATAACTAAAAAGATTTTTACAAGTAATCATCAATGAAATCTGCTAGATCTCAACAAAAATATGAATCATAGTAATTACCAAGATGGTTGGTTGCAAATTGCATCTCAATTCCATCTTCCGAAAGCTGGTGTGGGCAGAACATAACACCAGCATTGTTTCTGCATCATAACATGAACCAAATTTCATGAAAGTGAAAAAAGATGCAGAAATAGAACTAGTTATGCAAAACGCCATGGTGTCCCTTCAGTTCTTTTTGGAGAAAATTTTGTAACCGGTTCTATTTGTGTATATTTTTTTCTGATACGGAGACTATTTTAATGATCAAAGAGAGGACGAGATGATCACATTAAGAGGTTGAGCGGGAGATCAAGAGCGCTGAAGCTATCGACGAATGCCCTAACAGACTTGATAGAGCAGAGGTCAAGTTTGAGAACATCCACTCGAGCAGTTTTATTTTCTTTGAGAATAAGTTGTTTAGCTTCGTTTGCAGCCTCAAGGTTTCTAGCAGCAATGATGACATGGGCTCTGCGAAGTGCCAACACCCTTGCAGCCTCAAATCCAATCCCACTTGCCCCTCCTGCATAATCCAAGAAAGAGGCATGTTCGATAGCTCTTTATATACATATTACCACAGTTAATAATTTAATTCTTTTACAAGATATTCTTAAACCACTTGTATCTACGAGGAGAGGATTGAAACTTGGGTGCAAAAACTTGGCCAGAGTGTCTTAGCCAACCGGGCCTAACACATTATCATAGTTAATTTCATGTTTATTGTGCCATGTAATTTTGTTCCCACCTAAAATACATGGTGCATAGTAAAGTTTTATGTAAGAGAACTACAAAGGGACGAAATAGACAGATACTCGTATACAGTCGATGATATGACATATTTTTCTTGTTGCTAATGATAAAATTTTAATGCAATTTATCTCTAGACATGACTATCTAACTAGATTTAGTATGCTAATAATTACTGAATGCATCTGAAACCAACCATGTGTGCTTAGACTATTACTCTCAAATTAGGGAGAAATTTGTCTGGAATGTCACAATAACGATATTCTTAATTTACTTGATTATAAATGCATGATTCATTTGAAATATCGTAATTGAATACCATATAAGAAAATTCTCCAAAAGAGACCAACAGATCAACATCCTGTGAACATAAGGACAAAAACAGTGACCAAATAAATAGACTCGTATAGCTGTCTAAGATTTACTGTGCTAATTACTCTCTAATAGTGATAGGAGATAAACCTTACAATTCCTGGAGTAGAATTATCTTCCCTCCTAGTCTACCTCCCTTTCCCTTTTATCCTATTTGAATTGTTACAGTTTAACCACGTCAACGTTTTGTGTTAATTTTTTAATAACCAAAAGAAGACAAAAAACAATTTGTGGGAGGAGGGGAGAGAAGGGAATAGGAATAGAAGGAGAGATAATCATACTCCTTCCTGGAATACCACCAAAATTTACTTACACAATAAAAACATTTCAAAGTCAATTAGCACATTCTACCATACACACATGAATATGCACTATATCTTTGCAAACATGATTGACTTGAAATACTATCTTTGCATCCAAAGTACAAATAAAAACTCACCAGAGAAAAACATAATTGAAAGAGGAAACTGCAGATAGACTGACCAGTCACAATGGCAGTCAGGTTGGTTGCATCAACTCCTTCAGTAACCTGCTCAGCAGTGGAAGCTGATCCAAATCCACTAGGCCCTGGCCTTCCTGTAACCAACGAAAAGATGCCCATTTCCAAAAATCCCAGAAAACAACCAATCAGAAACTCACACAAAAGCACAGAGCTCTTTCGTCCCAGACCAGAATTTGTGAGAAAAAACTGAAGGGGTCTGTGGTTCTTTAAATGGAAACAATGCAATGGGGAGGGCCAGATAACAAGGGTGGCTGCTCAGAGGGTGGGATGAAGAAAAAAGGAAGGAAATGCATGGGGAATAAATATCAGCGTGGAAGGTTGAATGTGGGTAACAAATATTAATATTCCCAACAACCCCTCAACACCTCAACAATTTGCTTTCTTTAACTTTTACTATTTCTGATGCTCTTTGGATATTTTGGAAACCGCAAATTCATCAATTAGGTCAATTGGTTTTTCTTGTGATTCAACCATAACTCTTTTGAACACTTGATGACTAAATTTTCAGTTTGGTGTGCCGTCCTACTTCCAAGTGGGGAAAGTCGTGGGGGCATGGACAATGAAGAAGGAAAGTGAGTAGTCACATTGTGTGATATGGGTATGAACCCCAAACTACCCGGCAATGCCCACCATTGCTCTAACTGTGAAATGATCTTGATCCAAGCTGGTCCCAGCTTGGAAAGATAAAACATCATCAACTTTCAATGGGGATAATTTTTTTTTCTTTCATTGCTATTACTCAAGGTTCTATAAGGTGCTAGGTACTAGTTGGCGGTGGACTGGAGCCTAACGCCTAGACGGTTAGACGAGAGCTTAGGCCCAATGGCGTAGCAAAAAATTATTCGGTGAGTGAGCTAAATAGTTTTAATCTTTTGTTGCGTACATAAAGTTATATAATAATAAACCTGAAAGTAATAATTTGAAGTAATAAATTTATACTATGTTTTCTAGGCTTTTAGCCTTCAAAACTTTCAAGTGAATAAAGGTAGGAACCATTTGTAGTATGGAAGTTTTAATTTATTACTATTAAATTATAATATTGGTTAAAGTGATGAGTTTACTTAAATCAATTTATTAATTAAAAAATAACAATTTATAAAAAAATTAATAATTTGGCTATTAAATGATGATGTGTCAAAGGAGTTCGTTCCTGTCACGTCATCATTTAACAGCCAAATTGACATAAAATTTAACGGAGGTATGACATTGCAATATTATAATTTAAGTGCCTAAGCGGACTAGGTGGATTAAGTAAACTATTAAATTATATATCGTGTAAATAAGTGTGTTTATACTTAAAAAATACATATTTGTATTGGGACATATAAATTTAAAAAAGGATGACACATATATTAGAAAGTATTAGAACATATTGAAAACATGGGCAACCAGAATATAATTAATAAGTATTCATCAAAGTATTCAACAAGTATTCAACAAATCTCTTATAGTTGTATAAAAATACCTAAATTGAAAAAATGATGACATATATATTAGAAAGTATTAGAATAAATTGAAAACATGAGCAACCAGAATATAATGGGTGATCATCCAAGTATTCAACAAATCTCTTACAATTTATTAAAAAATAAATTACAAAATAAAAGTTATCCGTTTTCTTTCTGAGTAAGAGTCGTGACCTAAGTATGTGTCTAAGTAAGTCCATGTGGGCTAGGCGAGCGCCTAAGTAAGCCTAGGTGCCCTAGACTAGGGATTAATTAATATGATGATCAGCCATCTAACATCTAGGCGATAATTTTTTGCTTAGATCGATGCAAGGACCACCCCTCCATTATTTTCCTTGGCAAAGGATGGAAACAAAGGGAAGTAGGTATATTTTAGATTATAGCATGTTTGGCACTATTTTGAAATAGTTAAATATCAATTTGATTATGTTTGACAAAAAAAAATTTAAAAGTTTTTTTTTTTTGGTGTTAAGAACTTTTTGGAATAGTCTATCCATTTGGAAATACTTTTTAAAAAGCAATTTGCTCAGTAGCAACACTTCTGCTAGGTTCCAATCGAAATTTTTAATAAAAATACAAGTGTTTGTTTCTAGAAAAAGTACTTGAAATGCTAGTGCTTCAGTTTTTAGAAGGCACATAGCAAGTGATTCTTCTTGAAAGCACTTCAACTATTTATTTGAATCTTTAAGCACTTTTAACTTTTTATTCTAAATTACCAGAAATATTTTGAATAATCTAAAAGTGTTTTCTTAGTTATTTTTTTTCAAAAATTATTAGTACTAAAGGGAATAGAAAGGGGTCGAAACTATTACAATAATTTATGGATGATGAAGTTTCAAACCCGAAATGTATGGATGGAAACCCAGCATCCAACACCCAAATTATTTTAAAAACACTTTCAAACAAACAACCAAAAAATCCTTATTTAACAACAAATATAATTATTATACACGACGATTAAACAAATGGACATAGCACCTCTTGTCACAATAAGTTGTACACCTTATTATAATTGTTGCATAGACGGGTGACTTATACATAAATTTTTCCTCCTAAAGAAAAAAATGAAATTTGCACGTCACTTTTGATAGTTTCCCTACCATGCTAAAGCCCCTTTCTACCATTTGTTAGTTGTATTGTACCCTTGAAAGAACGTATCTACTAAAATGTCTATCAACAATGGGGATGAGAGCAATATTCTATGTGGGTCTAGCTCTCGTAATGTGTCCCTTAAGGTTACATTTAGTGGCCGAATTTATGGAGCCAAAAAATAATCAAGAGGCGACACTTGGATTTTTAGGTGAAGAGGCTAGTAAAGAATTAATTAATCGGTTGGATATTCAGGAATCAAAAACTCGTTAATTTTTATAAAGGCATTTTGAATTATTTGATTTATTAGATCTTGAATTTTAATGAATTATGTGATTTATTAGTTCCACCTCATTATGTCGCGTCTCCTCAGAGAAACTCTGCTCCACCTGTAAGCTTAGCGGAGAAATGACAGAACCTCTAGTTTCGGGCGTAAATCCTAACAAACTTAGACCACAGGGGTTTAAATCCGAATTTTTTTACCACAGGGACTATCTTCCGAATACCTTATAACCACGAGGACCATTTATCCGATTTTGCCAACCTAAACCTAATGGAGGAATGACAGAAGGGCATAAATCCTAACAGACTTAGACCACAGGGGTTTAAATCCTAACAGACTGTGACCACATGGGTTTAAATCAGAATTTTTTTACCACAGGGGCTATCATCCGAATATCTTATGACCACATGGACCATTTATCCGATTAGGCCTTAATTCATCCATCACCCCTCCCATCTTACTCACCTCCTTCACGAGGCGAAAGTGTTATCAAAGAAAATGATTTTCACTCTTTTTAATTTCTCACACGGTTTTTCTTATTTTTGTCCAGAATAAATCAAACAAAAAGCACTTGCTTCTTTTTGTATAAATAATATCGTTTGCTCAAAAAAAAAAAATCAAACAAAATGAATTGTAAGAATTAAACAAGGGTGGATAAAAGGCTAAAAAAAGTGTGCGTATGTATACCAAGAAGAGCTTGGCTCCTTAAGGTTAAGGAGGAGCTATTCCTGAGTCCTCAAAATACTTCTTGACCTATTCACATAACTTCGTATTTATAATTGGAACCGTTTATATTATGAATGACTCTGTAAATATCATATCTGCAAAAAGCTAATTAAAACTAAGATTCTTTAGCAAATTAATTGTAGCAAATAAATAGACGTTTCATAATACTTTTACCGAATTCGTCCATCTGTTTTTATAAAGAATGATGACGACATAGGTGAATAAAGTTGAGATTTCACTATACAACCAATTGACAATATGCAAGGTAATCCTACTAGCTATAAGCACATACAAGGTATCTTATTACCTGATGTTGTACCCTCAACATTCGAAATCATCTGCTAGGCAGTATAGATCTAATCAAAAATCTGATAGCAAAATGTATCTGTTTTATTAAAGAAGGTCCTGAATTTAAATTTTATGGACGAAAATTGATACATGCATAAACATTACATACTTATCAAATTCTTTGATAATGGACCCTGCAAAATAGAGTAAACAACAGTGACTGCTATAAGAGTGCATTTGTTTGCACTCACTAGCATTCACTAGATTTGACTGGATTAACTGGCAAAGTAGTCCCGTGTTTGTTACACGCCGGGACAAAGTTTAATGAGACTCGCCCAACTAAACTAGACTAAGCTATTCGTTAAGGGGTCTTAGCAAAACCCCCCGAAATCGGCCAAACTGCTAAGCCCACTCATCTCCGCTTTGCCCTCCTCGCTTCGCCCCTCCCATCTACCAACTCCCTACTTCGCCCCTCCCATCTACCAACTCCTAAAACTACCCCAAACTACCCAGCAATGCCCACCATTGCTATAACTATGGAATGATCTTGATCCAAGCTGGTCCCTGCTTGGAAAGATAAAACATCATCAACTTTCAATGGGGATAACTTTTTTTTCTTTCATTGCTATTACTCAAGGTTCTATAAGGCACTAGATACTAGTTGGCGGTGGACTGGGGCCTAACGCCTAGACGGTTAGACGGGGGCTTAGGCGCAATGGCGTAGCAAGGAATTATTCGGTGAGTGAGCTAAATAGTTTTAATCTTTTGTTGCGTACATAAAGTTATATAATAATAAACCTGAAAGTAATAATTTGAAGTAATAAATTTATACTATGTTTTCTAGGCTTTTAGCCTTCAAAACTTTCAAGTGAATAAAGGTAGGAACCATTTGTAGTATAGAAGTTTTAATTTATTACTATTAAATTATAGGGTAAAAGAATGTTTACTACCCTCATGTTTCATGGTTTTCAACATTTAGTACATTAAGTTTTTTTTGTCTCAGATTCATACTTAAAGTATAAATTTTAGGACAGTCTCTTATATCCGTTAGTCAAACTGTTAAATCTGCCGTTAATTGTAACGTGGCGCTCATATGGACAATGACTAAGCGCCACATGTCATCCACATTTTTTTTTCTTTTTTTTTCTTCCTCCTTCTCCTTCTTCCTTCCTCCTTCTTCCTTCTCTTTCTCGTTCTTCTTCTTCCTCCGAATTTGGGTTGCAGATTAGGTTTTTTTTTTTTCTTCTTCCTCCTTCTCCCTCCATCTTCTTCTTCCTCTTCCTTCTTGTGCAACTTTTTTTTTTCTTCCTCCTTGTCCTGCTTCCTTCCTCCTTTTCTCTCCCCTTCTTCTCCTTCTTCCTTTTTCTTCCTTCTTCTTCCTCCGAATCTAGGGAAGATGAAGGTTTTTTTTTTTTTTTTTGAGTAAGATGAAGAAGAAGGGGGAAGGAAGAAGGAGGAAGGAAGAAGGAGAAGAAGAAGGAGAAGAAGAAGGAAGAAGAAGGAGGAAGAAGGAGGAAGAAGAAGAAAGAAGAAAAAACAAA